GTTACACACGAATGGCACGTAAGAACTTATTAACACCATGTTCTATCAAACTTCTTTGTACAAACTACGATTTCCTAGAAAGCTATCCGTCTTAGTACCGCTTATCTCATTGCAAGGGCGCAAACGTGCTGCGCTCGATTACAGGACTTCAAAAACAAACACTAAATTCGAGGACTAGATTCCATTGCGTTTAGAGATTATAAAGTCGTGTGGTACCGGTATCTATATAAATTTATTATTGATATTTCAAGGTTTTCTGATACACGTGTTGTGTCATAGATAATTATCAATCAAATTCTAACCTCCGCGTTTACAAGCCACAATCAATCAAATCGTTTTAATCAATCAGCATATAACTATAATGGAACCGCATCAATTAGAACAAAAATATGGAGAGAATGGTATTTCTACAAATGTTGCATTCATGTAAGCGCGGAAAACGCGCAAAACCAATTATGAAGTTACCTAATAAAAGGCTATATACATTGTCTTACTGTGACGTCACAATAAATCAGCGTGTAATCAAGGCATTGACTGCGAAGTGTGAAGAACAATGTTTGTGATAATCTTCCTTCAAAAATATACTATCGTCATTCGAGCATTCAAAAGTTGCGGGTAGCGTTAGAAACCGCGATATATTACTACCTTAGAGTAAAGCTTAAAGTTCACATCAGTTATCCCAGACCTAAGCATTATGGTTTGAGGATAACGACCTTTGGAGGCAAATATGACTTCGACGTAAAAATCTGATAAGCTGTAAAATTTGGAATTGATCTTCCCGACGACCATTTCTACTTGGAGTAGGAACAATACGCCAATGATAGACAAACCATGTTATATTGCATTCAACATTTGTAGGGCTCTTCATTCCAAGGAAGTATCATGAAATTTCATATGCATTATGCACATAGCTGTCTCCGCCCCAATCGCATGGCTATTCTAATCAGCTATTCTAACTCACCACACTAGGAGGAAGTAGACATAAGGAGGGGAAAATAACGAGTTCCAGAATAGCGTTTACCAACCAATTCCCACCAAAGACGAATTTACTTATTTCCGAGGAGAAAATACAGACGCAATATTACCTCGTGTGTGAAACAGTTATATAAACATTGTTAAGTTATTTAGTACTATTTATAATACATATTTATAGACGCATCATAAGATATTCAAACTGCACAAAAGCAAGAAAGAGTGGGAGTTCTGGATAATAAGAGCTAATGATCTTTTAAAAATTGAACAAACAGCGGAAACAGAGTTGTATGCACAGTGTAGGGGGGGAATAAAGAGATTCCAATAGGCAAAGGGTAGAATATTTCGAAAAGGGCTAAAAACATCTGGGTTATAACTGGCGACTGTTAGGAAACCTCCTTATCTTAAAATAGTAACGACAATGATTGCTCCAAAAATGGGTTTCATGTTTGTCTTTCTCATCAACGAAATGTTATTTCGTTCGCTCATTTTATCGATTTTACAACCCTTTTTTCGTCATCATTTTATTTATCCATTTCCGCCTTGGCCAACGTTTCACAATCGACGAGGAATTCATCCCCAGATCGGAACTTTGACCTTTTTGGTGATGAATTGTGCGTTGTATTTGGTGCAGTATTTCTAAATTTTTTAGTTTTTTTTTATTATTACCATAATACTTATTCATGAACACATACTAGACTACTTAAACTGTACAAAAACGGGGGGTGCGACCTACGCATAACACCAGCAGAAGATCCTTTAAATATCAAACAAATAAAAAGTAGTTTTATGCAGGAGGAGGGAGAAATAAAGAGTTCCAAAATCAAACAAAAACCCACACTCACGATGACCACAAAAACAAGATAACTTACTCATTTGTGAGGAGATTATTCGAAACGCTTCTTTGAAGATTCGAAACACTCAAGCTTTGACGAATGATTTTAAAAGGATCATTACCTCCGGGAGTTAACATGACTCCTTTATCAATATTGTCACCAGAAAACTCCACAAATGAGGCTACACGAAACTTCTAATTTCTTCATATGAAAAATGTACAACGTTTTTCGACGATATGCTCTTGTTTGAGCAACTAAACTTACACCACAGCACGTAGAACTGGTGTCTTTATTGTAAATACCATCTTTCACATTACAGACAGTTGACGAAAAAAGCTTTCTCCGTCTAATGACGATGATGATGACATAGGAGATAGAGGGCAAAGGCAGTATATAACACCGTAAACATGGTGTAAATTATGTATGGCTAGTCGAATCCCTATGGCATATGCTGGCACATATACACTTGGATGATAGAGCTCTTAGCTTTATTTAACATAAAACATATCGATGTATCGTTTACGATAACTACATTAAAACACTGTTGAAAAAATCAGCGAGATTACAAATTCCTACCTTCGTTATATCAATAAAAATTTTATTTCTAAAATATTAGCAATAATATGGTCCACATTACTTAATAATTTTCTGCTCTCAAAATATAAGCTTTTCATATTACTGTCAAGATCAAGTTCGGTGTGACTAACATCGATATTAAAAAACTAGATAATAATCTCAACCCTTATAAGGAACCATTAAACTATAACGTTATCTTGTAAGGTAACAAAATATATGGAATACGAAACGGAAAATCCGCGGGAATAGATAGCATTGTAAAGTTGTCTAATCTTTGGCAAATTGCGGCACCTGGTTTGAGTCACGTCGAGAACTTTAAATTTACAATCCATTTGAGAAGTAAAAAGACAAGGTCTAAAATAACTAAACAATCAAGTGTGGGTCATTTTTAGTTTGAAAAATCGCTAGAAACTGTAAAAATGGAAATGCAGCAAAACACTATAACATTTACTGATTTTAACACTTATAGCCTGGAGGCCTAAAACGACAAACGTAAGCGAAACAGCGTCAAAAATCATTTGCGGGCACTTGTGACGCAACTGGGCTACGTAACGTACTAACTTCGAATATATTATTCATTTGTAACGTTTTATGAACTGACACGATGCCTTGAATTTTTAAATTTTTGGGTTCGATTTTCAATATTACTATTTGGATTATCCGACTTTATCAAGAGTTATACCAAATATATCCGATCATACTTTCGAAATAACGAATTATACTAAAAAACGTATTGCATTAATGGAGACTGGAAAAATCCTCATTTTCTAAGTCTTTATAATGGTACAATTTTTTATTCATCACTCGTTTTACAGTTACACAATAAATTCCGATGTATCTTCCTACCTAAGCAATGTCAAACCTTGCATTACTTGGAGCTCGTAAAATTCCTCAAGAAAAAATAAATCGATACTCCTTTTCATATGTCGAAACGCCTCGATAGCGAAACTAAACTCCGTGGTATGAAAGAATTAAACTTTACCATCGATCGGTCGATTTTTCAATTTAAAGCATTATGGATTAATAAATATAATTTCTGATAGAGAGGTCTGCTCTCTTATATGGAAAATTGTATTAGCGAAAATTGACGGAAATTAAATTACCGGTAGTTCTAATTTACCCCTCTTTTCATATACTCACAATTTGAAAACGCTTTTTTTTGAGTTATAGCATATTACTAAAATTTTACAAGAGTCAAATATTCAAATCGAGCATTTGCCCCACTTCAGCAGAATATTCAAATGGAAATTTCATGTTACGCGTACATCTCTATTTCTACGTATACTCGATATTTAGATTGCTATTCCTAATATAAACGTACAAGTCTTGGGATTACGGAAAATATATCGGGGTTGGATAGACTGTTATGACGGCATTGAATAACAACGACCGTCGGTCGCGCCTTCGTATTAGATCAAACATTACGGTACAGGAGTGACTTTCTCCTTGATAGAAAAATAACGTCACCGCTCCACTAATTTTTCTATCCTAATATCATAATCTTGTCAGTCTCGCCACTACTGGGATACATGAAAATAAAATCCCACTGAAATAGCCAATAAATAGTGTTGTATAGTAATCAACTATCCTCCAGTAAAAAAAAATCATGATTTGAGCTTGGCCATATTACTCTTATGATATGGTTATATGAAAAACGCCGTTAAATCTTTGGCCGATCGGAACGTTATGAAGACTTCATTGTTTAATCTAGTGCAATTTTACAATGGTAGCGAGCAAGCGGCGGTTGGGTTTTATTATGCCGTTATACAGTGTTGGAAAAATACACGACACCGAACAGACTGTGAAATACGGTTATAGAGAACGCATTCGCTGCTCATACACGTTCCCGGATAATAAAAAGAAAACGAACACTCGCGTGAGTGAGTGTGCGCGCGTGAAGCGAAAGTGTAAATGAGTGAGCGATTCACCGGCACATACAATTTAATTTGATTTATGCCCACTCTTACCATGGCCCATATATAAATATACTATACTATAGCTATTAACTTTCATAACTTGTGTAATGACATCCTTACCACTGACGTAATGAATAAAGTGGAATAATAGAGACTACTTCCCAACTTTTTCTGTTAAAATTCACCCCTCCGCCAATTTTTTTGACTCTTCATTCTATTCATGCATAAAAACTAGGTGCTTTATTAATTATTTGTCCAATCTTCAATGTATCCCCAGCTATCCCTATGTTATTTGCAAGTCGCACACCCGCTTTTGTTTTAAGTAGTTTACAAGGCATAATAAGTATCATAGTAATAATAAAGAACTAAAGAATATTGGTAATACTACACCAAATACCAACAAAATTTCTACCCAGTTCCTGACCGACTGGAGAACGTTGTAATAAAGTAAAGCTGAGAATAATAATCCGAAATACAACAAGAAATACGCATACAGTTGTCCACCCACCACACACCCTAAAATATATATTGATTAAAAATTTACGAATGGTTTGAAAATAAAAAGCAGGACAAAATGTGCGACTCTCTAGTGCCACCACGGCCTTATAGGAACTACCGTAGACATCTTTAGCTAAAAATAACTGTTCTGCCCACGGTGCAGAGAACCAAATATATTTGAGAATGAATAAAGCAAACTTACGGCGTTGCTATGCTCCCTCTTCTTGAAAACGAGTAAGATGATGATAACTGTTCTTTCTGTATGAATAATTATGAATACGAATAAAATCCGAATGTAACATTAACAAATTTGGAAATTTATCGAAACTGCTGTGATATTTTAACCAACCAACTATAAATGAATACCTATATAAAAATACTTAATTTGCTCATTTACTGTTTTGTACATGATATATCTTGTTAGGACTGTATAAGTTATACAACAACCCAACGGAAGTTTTGAAATCATATCAAGTACGCGGTTTTCTTACCACAGCCGTTGTCAACGAGGGGGCAGAATTTCCCATCAGCTTGTTTCGCATACGCACGAGGTTGCTTGTTTCTCCTCCAAATCCAGCACCGAGATGACCATCATAGCTAGCGAACACCGAATCTCGTTTTCCGTATTTTCCTATTGTGTAAAGTGAGGAGATGTTTAAAAGTGGACAATGGCGTCGTCTATAAGTAATTTCAAGGATATTTGCTTAAAGCAAGCTCGCGAGAAACTCGCTCAGAAGTTGAAGAGAATGATCCCTACGCGAAGCTATGAGCGACCACTAAAATTTGAAGGGCTACTGCCACTATAAAGAATCATAGTGCTGGATTGCGCGTTAGTAAATACCCATTAACGAGAGACTTAGAGCAGTTCGTGTCTATATGATTTGGAAAAGTAGTGAGTCCACACCATTGAAGTCCCTGAGTTCATAGCCAACCGATTTTGGCGGCTGAAAACTTTTATTGAACTTTCAAAAGACTGGACAATCTAGTGGTTTTAATGTACAGTATATAATCAATGTGGGCCTAAAAAAAATCATTGAAATAGGAAGGGGTCAGAGGTACTAATACAGACAGCACTCATGTAGAGCAGGACACCAAGCTGTGATTCATGGCAAAACATATTAGACATATTTGTAGCTTTTTACACATAAATACAATTTATTAAAATTTTGTGAATCTTCAAAAACGCACCTGTAATAGGTCCACATATGCTTCCACGTCTAGCTAAGGCGTTATCAGACAATTGACGACGAATTTTGCAGCTTCTAGAAACACTCGCTGTAAGATCTTGACTCCCAGCAACAGATTTCAGATGATGTAAATTCGAAGAAGGCGGAGACATAAATTCAGGATCACTCTGCAATCAAACAAAACATATAAGACGAAGGTAGAAACAAATGAAATAATCTGTTAAATTAGCAATTAGTTCTACCAAACAATAGGTAAATGTAAGTTGTAAATGTAAAATGCCCAGTTTGATTGCCCTCGTTCTCCTTTATCCCTATCCTTTAATTATGGTTTCTGGGCGATTGTCGGGAATAAAAGTCCTTATTCATTCCATACCTATATAAAATTTAGTGTAGTTTAAGAAAACATTTGTATTGTCTGTTTTTAATCTCACGTTCAAAATACGATAACTAAAAATTGAAATCCACATGAATAAGTGCTAATTCAAATAGAATTATCTATTTTAAAATAGGAGAAATTCAGAGATATAAATCATGAACTTATTGGTATAATAAAAGCAGACAATTAATGTCTGTTGGGATATAAAACCTCCGTGGAAGGAGAAACGATTTGAAGCGTCAAGGGAGTTCAGTCTGAGAAAATAAACTCTGTTGTTGAAGTCTTCGCTAGCGGTATGTCAAGTCCGCATTTCATCGACAACATGTCATTCTTATATGCAAAGCAGCATCATAAAAACGAGCATATGAAATTCTGGAAAGATAGACGCCACCCCAAAACAATGTCACTCGTAGTTCTAAGCACAGGTCGCGGCAACATTTTCATTAACACAAACATAGCCTTTATATAGCCTGTATTACCCAAAATATATTTTAGTATACACATGAAAAAGGAAATGTTACGTACACGCCGACCTAATAACAACAAATATTACATTTTGAATATCATTACCGCCATACTATTGGAGTAGCTTCGCCTCTGTTTTGCTTTGTTAATGCTTCTTTCTAGAGAAGATCTCAGTAGGACATTACTAAGTAATGTATTAGATCGTGGCCTATGGTGATAAGACTTCGAACGTGAATGCCTTGATTTAAAATTTTCAACTTTAAAATCTCCGTAGAAATCCAATGCGCGAGAGGCTGTTGGTGGCGCAGAAAAAGCAACTGGAGATGTGGGTCCAGAATCTACATTGTCGGTTTCGGGAGCTCCGTCTACGGAAATTGAACGAAAAAAACGAAACGCGGTTGGAGAAGGCGGCTTATCTTCGAATCCAGAAGGTACATTCAAAGAGGAGCTTGAACGATTGAAAACCCGGTTCTTTCGATCCATTATTACGTATTTGTTAAAACATCCTCAACAACGTCTTTTCATTTTGTAGATTGTAAGGTATTTGCAATCACCATGCTGTATGATTTTACTATATATACATACATTCCAACAAACTAAACTACATTTATGATACGTAAAACACAAACTTAAACGATGCTTCATATATTATAACTTCCTACGACTTCATTAGGGCCAAACTAACTTATTCAGAAGAGACGAAAATCAGCCCTATCATAATCATCACATGATTACTAAGAGCATTTCCTAATTCATGATATTGATACAGCACTTAGCTACTACGAAACTAACTGAGACTCTGTGCATGTAGTCGAGATCTGTATAATCTGTTTTGAAAGACAATTCTACAGCAACCAAAGCCTGTTTCTGCGTTAACAACTTCACTGGTAAACGGTAATATTTATGAACCACGCCACTTCAGAACTCGGCAATGTACGACACTTTACACCAGAGGTAAAGTAAACGAAGTCAAGCTTGAAACGAACGTCAAACAATTCTGTTCTTTTATAGGTCAAGTACTCATTATTTGACGTCAGGAATTGCTGTATGCTCTTGCACTCGAGAGCAATAAATAAGCACACACAAAGCATTGAAAAACCAGCCTACAAACTGGCAAATAACAGTGATATTCAGCATGCATATCGGTGAAGAATGCCCCTAAAATACCAATGAATGGAACACATTCTGCTCTATTGCACCAGACTACGCATAACAGCCGCCATTCAATCAAACAATAATCGGAAGGAAATAATATTTTACATATCATGCTGGTACTCGATGCAAAAAAAGCATTGGCTTGAGCACTATTGAGCTATAGGAAGGAGGTGAATGCATTTTCTTTTTTTCGGTCAGAAATTTTTACATGTGGTAGAATGTACCATAAAAAACGCGACGCATGTGAGCAGGACAAGATCGGGTACTAACGTAAAACGAAAGCGACTGAAAATTAAAAACTAAACCAGTCTCATGTCATCACAACCGCCATGATGATATCGAACGCATCATTAAATGCTTTGACGAACGAACTTTACTTTTAAGCTACCAAGTCCAAGAATGTACAAACTGGCTCTGTCGCGTCTTCGGGTTTGACGTCTCAATTTAGGTGAAATTGGCATGCACATAAGTCTCGTGGGACATCGTCGTTATTCAAATAGAAAATTGGGAATTCTTTCAAAATAGCATTACAAGGGTTACTGTTATTCGTCGAGATAAATCTACGTGCCTTTGAATGCGAAATTAGATTAGTAAGAGAATTCCATCAGTACGTAAAACTGAACCACGACTTAAGCACATTATGTGCCCCTAATGCAAAGTGAATTTGTCAAAATGGTATTACTCAATACTAAATATCACTAATGAATTTCTACTGAAGTACGAGACATAACGTTACTGCGCCTCATGGCATGATACCCACCGTACACTAGATCACTTTCATTATTATGTTTATGTATGAAATTTCTACCGTAATTCATAAGGGTTTTACAAATAGATAACAAAATACAGAATGGTCCCAATCACCGCTATAAGTTAGTTCTATTCTATTCTTTTGAATTTTTTTTGCTTTGCGCATACATACATACGCCAAAATATGGCATTCAAAAAAATAATAAATTTCCTGATAAACCAGGAGTAACCCTGACGAACATTCGAACAAATAAAATGTTCTTTCTTTCAGAGCTACTTTGAAATCAGAAAGCGTGAAACTACCTCCGCCTATAACAGTAGAAAGAACAACAGTCGAACCTTCCGCTAGCAAATACTGAGAACGATATTTGCGACCTGTATATCGATCTGTACTGCAATACTGTGCGACGGGCGATCCATAGTTTTCCCCCAAACAATCTTGACATCTTTCCAAAAGCACACGACATAACTGCAGAAAAGCAAGGGCAAATATCTCAAAAAGCCTAGCTTCAGAAACAAGCAAAGTAGCTGTAGACGAGGCACAGTTCAGCGCAACATAATGATACGACAAAGCGAGACGTGATTCAGATTAACTGTACAGCGCATGTGCGATATATCACAAGTGATTCATTGGTGTTTGCTAAGAGAATACTGGGTTAACTAAAAATAAAAGCGATGATACATTTCCTTGTGTTGGCAGAGGCGCAAAAAGAGTGAATTTGCGAGTGTGTATGAATGGCTATGTTGGTTTCGAAACGGAAAGACCAATAAAAAAAAGCAGTTTTGGTTTTTTTTTGCGAATATAAGAGATTTTTCGATGATGTCCTCAAACCGTTGCGGCATATCGATTCAAAAAAGATCGTTCTGATATGACAATGTCAATGAAAAGAAGTTTGTTTAGTATCTAATAGAGTTCTATTAGACACGCAGTTTGCTCTAAAACATCATACTAAAAGAAATAGGAAAACTGCTTCTAACAACACCAACGGAATCATTAATGGTACGAAAGTGAGAGAAAACTACATTAATCGGCATTTTCTAAATGTATGACGATGATTATACCCAAAGAAGTAACACGCAATTTTCTGATCTTCAAGCGAATACACGAAATGTTGGCTAAACAATACCGGGTTATTCGTAAGACGATAAAAAATCCAAGTGATATCAAATTGGAGCCCAATTGAAGCACAAATGCCAAGGTCGCGTTTTCGCGCCTTTGTGATGAAGGGGAAGTGTTATTGGGGCGAGCACACAACCATTTCACAGGAACATACAACGACGAGACAAGTAATCAGGAGAGCATAATTCAGGTTGTGAGAAAGCAATGAAGATTTAATAGTTTCTTGACGGCATAAACCTTGAGTCTACACTAATACAGAATACGATCTTGTAAGGAAAATGCCATTAAGCAACGTTCGGTCGTTTTGTATTGACCATAATTAAAATCTATGAAACACGAAAAAGTTAAGTAAAATTTTATGCTCACATACACCGCTCGCAGAAAGATTACTAAGGCGCTTCGTAGATTTGTGAACAAAATCCTTTTTGACAATAAGTTAATCATTAGATGGCGTTAAATATATACATTATACTCTAATCATTTAGATGTTTGTTCATAGAGTTTATATATTTAACTCACTATCTCACAATTACAAAAAGAAGACAGGCAAAATAAAATAAAAAATTTACTAAAACATGTATCGCTGGCAAACTTACCCTATGAGGTGTGACAGTAATGGTAGGTAAGGAGGCATTTCGTAGATGCCTCAATGAATTTGGCGTCGATGTCACGGGTGCACTGTTCCTATGTGATTTAATATTCTTGTACTCTTCAATAGTTTCTTTTTCACTCTCTTTCTCTTGAGAAGTTTGGGAAATATCTTCCTGACATTCTAGTGGCATACTAATCATTCTTCGAAATGAACGAGGACGTGTTTTTTGAGGCGAAAGACCCCTAGCGGGTGCTGTGTACGTTGCTAAATGAGCATTGCTCCATCTTCTAACTGCACGTGAGCCGAATTGAAAAGGACTATCTTCCAATATGGTGCTCCGTCGTCTAACACCAGAAGGCGACACAATACATGTGTCACAATTTCCAGACGAATTAACAAAAAAAAGTGAATGTCTGCGATTATTGGATCTCATCATCATCTCTGAGACACTGGAAAGAGGTCGTTCTGCTTCAGTCTTGATAGCGTTCTCAAATATAGGGCGGACTTCCAAGGCGGTTGGTCTCGCAACAGGGCTATCGTTATCGACCAAGCGCTCTCGCATCATTAGTGTTGAGGAATCGATTTCGTTCTGGTTACTTATGCAAGGTTCCTCCATATTTAAAATCAGTCCTTATCCCTCGTTTTTCACTGGAGTGATATGGAACTTATATTTTTACATATAGGTCGGTCTAATTGCATTTCAGAAGAA